TTTGGACAGCAATTCTATTTTGTTTCAAAGCATACATACCAAATTAAATTTTTGACAGTTGACAATTTTTTTTTGACATTTAATAACTAAAGTTAAGCAACGCGTCTTCTGGATTGTTTTGAATGGATTGTTTTTTTTAATATATAGATTTTTTTGTCTATTCAATTACTCCAGCAGTGATATGAGCTTTAACTTACGTAATTAGATTTAACAATGAGACACGTGCAAAGAAAACAAACATTTATATAATTTATTTGTGAGATTATTATTAAATTTCCTTTGTTTGGACAATTTCCTTTTGTTTCAAAGGATATTTTGATTTTAGAAATGTGAAGCTCCAAATTAATTTGTTGACAGTTGACAGTTTGTTTTTTGACATTTAATAACTTAAAGTTAAGCAACGCGTTTTCCGGATTGTTTTGAATGCATTGTTTCTTAATTAATATTATTGTCTATTCTTCGATTAGTTTAACTTACGTAATTAGATTTAACAATGAGACACGTACAAAGAAAACAAACATTTGGACAAAAAAAAATCTATTTTCTTTCAAAGGATATTTTGATTTTAGAAATGTGAAGCTCCAAATTAATTTTTTGACAGTTGACAGTTTATTTTTTTGACATTTATTAACTAAAGTTAAGCAACGCGACTTCCGGATTATTTTGAATGGATTGTTTTGTTAATATATAGATTTTTTGGTCTATTCAATTACTCCAGCAGTGATATGAACTTTAGCTTACGTAATTAGATTTAACAATGAAAACAAATTGAATAATTTATTTTCAAGATTATTATTCAATCTCTTTTGTCGGGACAACAAAATTCTCTCGCATTAAGTCTCAATTGTATCACAGTAGTAAACAAGAGTCGTAGACTGTGACGCAATTTCGATGTATTTACTTGGTATCGATTTCGCGTCTAAATGATGGAACGACGTACAAATCTAATAATAGATTTATTAATTGTGTATTTTTCGCAGGAACTTATCCGCGATACAGGACAGGGAGATCTGCTGCTACTCGATTTCCTGCAAGGAGAAGGACAACATCGACATAACCCTGCAATGGTTGATCGCGCATTCGAAATCCGGGATGCGCTAAGGATTCTTAATCTGAGATTCAGTTTAACCAAAACCCTCTATATAATTTTCTTTTCTTCTTCTTGTTCTCTCGTCCTTCGTTTTAATTTTAGTCCCCCCCAAAAAAAACACATCTCCTTTTTACGGAAAACTTATAATCTTATTATTATTTTTTTTACAAATCAAATACTATATATACGTCTATTATATATATATTTAAAGAAAAAAATGGAAGAAAGAAAACGAACTGGTGAAAAAAAAGTATGTAATTGATATAACATAATATTTTTAATTAATTAAATCGCAGATGCGACGACGGCTTTCAGCATAATAAGGAAAAAAAAATTAAATTATTAAAAGAAACGGGCGATCTTTTGTCTTAAGCGTGCGCAACAAAAATAATAATAATAATAAAGTAGGTGTTAACAAATAGAGAAGGAATCAATTTATCAACGGTGGCTTGTATATCGTGTGTGTGTTTTTGTTTGGTTTTGTTTTTTGTTGTTCTTCTGATCAACGACGCCTTGTTACATCTTTGTCGTTTGTTATTTTTATGAGAGTGGTGGAGGAGGACACGAAACAGTCGTTCAAGAGGACCAGACGCGATGATTAAAAAAAAAGCTATTGAATGAACTGAAGTTTGGGATTTGATCATCTTTTTGTTTTTTTTTTTAATATACAGGAGGAGGAAATGAAGATGATGATGCAAGTAAGGATTTCACATTCGGTTTTACCATTCAATTTAGTTTTAGCTGATTAGGCAGAAACAAACTATTTAATTAGTCCTAGTGATTATTGTAAGTGAACGCAAAAGGAGAGAACACCTCAAAAATCAGCAACCGCCTACTAGATTCCATTCGCAATTTGCTAAATACCTTTTATTAGTTGCGTCTTTTATAAATATTGTTGTTTTTTTTTTTAAATATTATGTTTTATGTGCAAATTTCAAAACTACGTTTCTGTGATTTACGTTCGAGTTGCAATTATAATTTAATCCGGAAAATTAGTTTTTTTTTGCATCAGGATTATATTTTGTACAATGCAAACTGTGTGTGTGTATGGTGAAGAGAGTGTAGAATTGAGGAATATAAGCAAAATGTGTGATGCTGATTATTTTATATTATTATTTTTTTTGTGTTTTGTACCTTGTTTCAATTATTATTTTTTTTTTCTTCTCTCAACGTGTATTTTGTATGGAAATATTAGTATATTATAAATTACGATACATATAAAAAGAAATTATCCAAAAAAAAATGTATATTTTACTAGTATGATAAACACTGTATGATTTTAGGTTAAGGTGCTCTGAATTTATTCTATATATATTTACGTATTTCTTTATTAATATTATTTCTTTTTAAATTCTTATTCTCTGTATTGATTTACTTTATTGCATATACACTACTGTAAACAATGTATGAAAACGTTTCTTTTATTTCTAATTAGTTTATTTTTTTATGGCAATTCTGCAATTGTTGAATTCATTAGGAGAATCTTATAGTACTTATAATAATAATAAATATATTCATTGATTACTAAACATTTTGATTGGACGGAATTGACTGTTGTTAGATGACGACATTTTAGTAAAACATTTAATTGATAAACATTTTCTTATTTGATTTTTTTAATTATTTAATTTTATCTTGATTTCCGTACATCTCTTCCGAAGATGTCATTTTTAATAATAGTTCACTTACATAAACGAGATGGCGTTTTTTGTTTTTGACAACTTTAATTGATGGCATTGTAGTAAAAACCTAGTTTAAATTTCATTGATAAAATTTTTCTAAATTACATTCAAATTGGATAATTTTACCCAGATTTTCTTATTTTTCATTTGTTTATGTCATCCATAATTTTAATTACATAACCATAATGGCGTTTCTGTTACGTCAAATTTTGACCACTTTAATGGATGCTACTTGTGTAAAAAATAGTTTAACTTTTATTGATAAAATTTTCCTTAATTACTTTCAAATTGAACAATTTTATCCTGATTTTCGTATTTTTCATCCGATTATGTCATTCATAACATTAAACGTTCAGAAACGTCATCTTGCTTATGTACAAGATGACGTTTCTGTTACGTCAAATTTTGACAACTTTAATCGATGCCATTGTAGTAAAACAAAAATCAATAAAATTTTAACTTTTTATTGTTTATTATTTTTATCTTAATAGCTTTCCGCACATTTCATCCGAAGATGTCCTTTTTAATAATAGTTCAGTTACATAACCAAGATGGCGTTTTTGTTACGTCAATATTTGACAACTTTAATTGGACTGTCAAATTTCTTGCGTAATGCAATAACAAATATTTGTTGCTTCTGCAACTGCAGATGTCGTTTTTACTATTATTGCGACACAATTTTAGCAACCCTTTCGTTGCTTATTAACCCCAAATATATAATTTTTCGTAAATCTGTTGCACAATGAAGATGTCGTTAAGTTTGTGATGCAATTTGACAACTTTGACGGTCAAATGCTAATGATTAACCATTAAATAAATCTAATTTCAAACAAAAATTATCTATAATAAAATATGCTTATTGATCTCAAACGTCATTTCGTAATTTTTGGTAAATGTATTGCGTAATCACAACCACAAATTAAACTGTCAAATGCTAATGAATACTATAAACTTAACCATTAAATAAATCTAACAATAATTATTTTCTATAATAAAATTTTGGAAGTTTTACTTATTGAATCTAAATGTCATTTTGTAATTTTTGGTAAATCTGTTGCGTAATGAAGATGTCGCTAAATTTGTTATACAATTTGACAACTTTGACGTTCTTAACTGATAACTACAAATTAAACTGTCAAATGCTAAAGATTACTATAAACTTAACCATTAAATAAATACAACTTCGAACAATAATTATTTATAAAAAATTTGGGTAATAAGATACTTTACAAATACGAAGTTAAGAAATAATGAAATGTGATGCAATGTTTACTACCAATACGAAATGCGTAGTATACTGATAATAATTAATTGACCAAATAGGGATAATCGTATGCAGTCGTTGAATCATGCATTTTTTTAATTACAAACTTTTAATCTCTCGGTTCAAATCAAAATGAAAAGAAATAGTAACACTTTCAAAGAAGAAAATACGTAACACTTGAGTGACTTCCATTAAGTAAATATTTACGCTTCGTATCAGTAATAACAAAGTCATTCTTTCAATATTTACAAAACATATCTCAAGTGTATGGAGCATAGATTTACATGTAAACATAATTAATTATAAACAGATATTTTTATTAAATTTAAGTTTTAAACATTGTTGATTCAGTTTTCATGAGAAAGTAGTAAGTATTAATGTAATATTATGGAAAATTTTGATTTTTTTAATTAAAAATGTCACTTTAATGTCATTTTGAAAAATTATGTTAGGTTCTGTGAATGGAATATGGAAACACTTTTGTTGATATTTTGTAACTTAAAACTTTATTTGTTCATCTTTATAATACATAAGAGAGTAATTAATAAAAAAAATATGATAATAGTATAAAGAAAACGCAGAAAAATCGTAGAGAGACAGAGAGAAAATAGTAAGCAATAAATACAATAGATGGAAGTAAAAAAATAATAACAAAAGAGCTCGAAAGTCGCTTAAATTATGTAATAATAATAATATACATATGTAGTATCACTTACAGCATAAAAAGAACACGAGTTTTGAAGAAAAAAAAAGTTACAGCAATAATAATATACAGGGTGGTGCGTGCATCCGATATGCCACCAGAAATTAAGATATACACCATGCATTTATACATTTATAAAATATAATAATTATAAGAATATATCTTGAGCAGTCGGTAGTTTCCTTCTCTATAATAATTATAACACTTTCAATCATCAATAATATATAATATATTTCAGTACAAAAACGATTTAAAGTGGAGCAGGCTATATCATCAAGGGCAAACCAATAATAACGATAAGAAGAGATATTTATAATTTATATAAAAAAAAAACACAATAATTACTCGCAATACACGAATTTCCTTCGCTTGGACAAAAAAAAAATTCGCAATTATAACATTTACTATCACAGCCTTTTAAGACGTTCACGAAACCGACGAAATTGGGGGGCGGGAGGGGATTATATGATCAAATAAGATATATCTAATTTGCTTTGTTTGCATCAACTTCGATCTTCGAGGATGTTTTTTTTCTGTTTTTTTAAGTTCGTGCGATGATGATGATGGTATCAGTCTACTTGTTCGAGACGAACTCGCTGGTCAGGTTTCGCTTGTCGATGAGGCCGCCGTTCTCGTAATAGCCGATCTCGGGGCACGAGCTCTGCTCCAGATTGGTGTTCTTGCAGCCGCTGGCAAAGCACCTGTGGACACCTGCAGGTATTGCCGGCTGCTGCTGTTGCTGCTGCTGTCCCAAGACGTTGTATCTCGTCCTGTTCATCTCTTTGTTCTGGATCACAATCGGCGCCCGATGGTACCGTCTGGGATCGTCGAAGAAGATGGGCGTCGAACCCTGTCCGACGTAGCGCTTCTGCAGCAGATTCTGAGAAGTCTCGTAGTTCTTCTCGTGATAGTTGTTACTGCTTATGTAACTGCAACTGAAAAAAAGAAACGAAACAAAATAAGTAATTAGTATTGTAATTTCATAGCATTTCATAGCAACATCAAAAATTTATAACATGTTTCTATGGTAACATCATATGGTTTTGACATTTAGTAATAGTTTATGTTCTGCTGACAGATGGCGTCAATAGATTTGTTGACATTTCATGAAAGTTAAACAACTTGCGTCATGCTATAAGTGGATTGGTGATTGTTTAGTACCATCTAAATGTTATTATTAATTTACACTAAAACAATTGTCACGGATAAAACAAAATATAATAGAAACGTTACTTTTTTTGACATTTTCTAAAAATTATTTTTACTCTATTAACAGATGGAAAAACGAAACAAAATAACTAATTAGTATTGTAACTACGTCATTTCATAGCAACATCAAGAAATTATAACATATTTCTATGGTAACATCATATGTTTTTGACATTTAGTAATAGTTTATGTTCTGCTGACAGATGGCGTCAATAGATATGTTGACATTTCATGAAAGTTAAACAACTTGCGTCATGCTATACGTGGATTGGTGATTGTTTAGTACCATCTAAATGTTATTATTAATTTACTCTAAAACAATTGCCACGGATAAAACAAAATATAATAGAAACGTCACTTTTTTTGACATTTTCTAAAAATTATTTTTACTCTATTAACAGATGGAAAAACGAAACAAAATAACTAATTAGTATTGTAACTACGTCATTTCATAGCAACATCAAGAATTTATAACATGTTTCTATGGTAACATCATATGGTTTTGACATTTAGTAATAGTTTATGTTCTGCTGACAGATGGCGTCAATAAATTTGTTGACATTTCATAAAAGTTAAACAACTTGCGTCATGCTATACGTAAATTGGTGATTGTTTAGTACCATCTAAATGTTATAATTAAATAACTCTAAAACAATTGTCACAAATAAAACAAAATATAACAGAAACGTCACTTTTTTTTGACATTTTCTAAAAATAATTTTTACTCTGTTAACAGATGGCACTTTATGATTAAATAATGGCACTAATCAATCAGTAAAATTTAATAATTGATTCCTTCATCATCAACTATTTTATAAAGCGTTTCTGTATTGAAATTATTGATTTTGACGATGCGTGCAGCGAATTGAGAAAACGGTTTCGCATCGTCGCGGTAGATTGAAGACACAACGAAGATGAAATATGTGATCGTGACTCGGCCTCTGGTAATTGAAAACGATCGATCGAAAATCGTTATCAAATAAGTATTAAAAATTTGTTATAAATGAAAATTTGTGTATCCATTTCTTTTCTTCTGTCTACACATATGGAAGCAATTAGCGAATTATTTAAGGATGTTGGAGCCTATCCAAAATAAACTTCTTCAGATTCTCATTTGCTACATTTTTGTTACCTAAATCCATATGCATCTTTCCAATTTTATTTGAAAAATTTAAATTAATTATATTTTTTTACAAAAATTGGATTGAACTTGAAAATTTCAAGTATTAAGTTATGATTTTAATTGGAAAAATAGATTAATTCTATAGCCTTGCTAATATATAACATAGAAAGATAAAAAAAAATCTTCGGTCGTGCGTATTTTCTCAATGCTAAAACCTTCATAGTGTTTTATATACAATTTTTTTTTATTATTTTGCTTATATTCTTTTAGCAATTAGATTTATGATCAAAGTAGGACAAATAAATATCATCATAAATAAAAATTGCAAACGTCATACTCTTTGACGTTTCCTTAAAACATGTTCAATATGTATCGTCAATTCGTTCATTGACATTTCACGAAAGTTAAACAATTTGGATTTTGCTGTACTTCTTGTTTTTAAAATAACCATATATGGTTATGAAGTTTGCATACAGTAATGTCATATGATTTTGACGTTTACATACAACAACGTCACATGGTTTTGACGATTTCATACAACACGTCATGATTATGACGTTTTCATACGTCATATGGTTTTGACGTTTCTATCAAAATATATTTGTTCTAACGATAAATGACGTTTGTCTAAATGTTAATTAATCAATTATGACATTGTTCAAATTATTTTAGTTTTCTTGTTGTAATCTTGAAGCCGGACATTAGGTAATTCAAGAACGTAAATTATCCGAAGTTGCGGACAGGAAATGTGAGAAATATTTACCCCAGTTTGTGGTTGGCATTGCTATGGGATTCGGCTCTTAGCATCTTCACAGCAAGGACGATGAGGGCGACGACGATGACAGCTCCGCAAATCGGAACGGCTATGGTCGCTGCCTTGAACCAGACGTCCGCACTTCCATACCCACTATCACCTAGGTGACTTTCTTCGACGCGGCTGATCTGATGAAGAGAATCGACTGCAAACAAAACAAAACAAAACATAAAATAAATCAAACTCGGTTAATACGATACGTTTTCATTTCTTCGTATCCAATTGCCCATTGAGACATTCTAACTCTCTGCTCTTTATCTCTAATTAAGATATTTCCGAAGACTCTTTTTATCTCTGATCTTTCTCTCTTCACTAACTCAATTTGTAGTTGCAACAAGGAAACAAGTTTCTCTGTTTCCATCGTTACGGTGGTAACGGCGCCAACGGTAAAGGCGTTTCCGATTTCTATAATCGGATGGACAAGAAATCAGGATCTCTCAATAAATACACACAAACCAAATACAGAAGATTCCGTTCTTGCTGATCGATTGATGGACTCGAATCAAATAGAATCGTGATCCGACGATTACCAAATTGATTTTAATCGCATTCCGTACATTATATATAAACTCATTCGCCTTTCATCCAGGTTAATTTATAATCAATTTTATTTTTATATACAACCTTGCTTTCTGTAACAACCATCAAATAATGTATATATTGATTGGACAATTTAATAGCATTTTTCCAATTATTTTCGTAAATCAATACAAATTGTTCGATTTTTTTGTACATTTTAAGGAGTGATCAATTACGAATCTTTTGATATAACTACAGTTACGTTACGACAATTAATAATTGTGATATAACCATTTTCATTTTTTTATCACATCCTCACGTTTTATTTAATTACTCGACAACAACCAAAGCCAAGTACATCATTGTACATGGAAATTAAAGACAAAACCATGGCCTTTCCAATGAGTCTACTGGCAGATTTAAGTTACTTCATGCTTTCCTGTTATGAGCTTTCCAATTTTGATAAAAAAAAACTCATATTTTTGATAAACAACAATTGGTAATAAATTTAATGATAAAAACAACGACTTTGCATTTTGCGTTAAGGTCAATGACTGTTTCTCAAGAAATACTGATAGTTTGAAGAGGAGGAAAGAGAAACTTAAGAGAAAATGTAATTGTCCATTGTATATGATTCTTACATGATTCCGTTTCGTTCATCAGACTTCTTGTGTGTTGATCATCGATGTGGTTGCACATATCGTTGTAGCAGCAGTTCAGAAGAGAAGATCTCGGATGTCTGTTCCTCCTTCTCTTCGTGTTGCCGTTAGAGTTCCTCTGGCACGAATCTCTTTCCCTGCAAAGAAGAAAAAAAAGATACATTAAACGTTGGTAATTAAGACAATGAATATGTAAATGGTAAATCCGAGCTGCAGAACCCATCTCTGTGATGACCCGAGCGAAGGAGTGAATTCTACGCTTGGGAACCGAAACCCGTTTCCTTTTTGTATGCAAAACGCGCGCATCCATCCGTAAAACGTTTTCCATCTTTTTTTCCATACAACTTCGGAAAATTAATCATGTATTTTACACAGCAAAATATAAAAATATAATTAGAAATTTGCAATTATTAAAGAAAGATTCATTTTATAATAAACAAATTACGAATTGATCGATGTTTTGTAAAGGAAGAAGTAATGAGTCGTTTTATTCGGTTTCCTCTTCCTCTTCATTTGCTATTCCGTTGAGGATGGAGAAAGTGAGGAAAAGGACTTCTTCTTTTGTTGTCGTTGCTTCATGCCGCTTTATTATGATCATCATTACTCGGATGTTCTTTTTTTTATTGTTTGTTTCGTTTTTGTTACTTTTTTTTTATGCCGGCTGCTTTATAATATCTTCGGGAGGTCAAACATTCACACGCTTTTCACTGGAGGCGAGCGAACGAGGAATATAATTGCCGGGTTCAGAGATTGGGTGTTTAATTGTTGTTCGAGATACACCTGAGGTACAGACAGCATCCATCAACGCGTGCCAAAACAAGAGAAAAAGATGAAAAACAAATGAATACTATAAACGTGAACTACGATTTCTTGAAAAGTGTAAATCTCATTCTAATTGATTTATTTATATTGTAATAATATTTGAATATATTTTTACAAAAAAGCTGTTTTAATTGTGAATATTTTAATCTATCAATTATTACGTTATATTAATTAATAACTGAGATATGACGATTTTTTAATTTATCTGTCTTATCTTCACGTTTTATTTAATTACACAATAATCACAAACGCCAATTAAATAATTAAAAATGTGAATTAAAGAAGAAACTATAGCCTTTCAAATGTTCATAAGTTTACATTTGTAGTATTTACCATTTTTCTGTAAATGAGCTTTCAAATTTGAATAACATATTTTTTTTTTCGATCAATTTTTTTTTGTAAATTAATATTATTGTTCAAATACTAAATTCATTTCATTGATTAAATTTTATATAAGAAGCGGTTTTTAATTGCGCATGATTTGATCCATCAATTATTACGTAATATTAATTAATAACTGAGATATGACGATTTTTGTATTTATCTGTCTTGTCTTCACGTTTTATTTAATTACTCGACAACCACCAACACCAATTAGATAATTAAAAATTTCAATTAAAGAAGAAACTATAGCATTTCACATACACCTAAGTATACATTTGTATTATTTACCATTGTCCTGTAAATAAGCTTTCAAATTTGACTAATATATTTTTTTTTCGATCAATTTTTTTTTGTAAATCAATATTATTGCTCAAAAACTAAATTAATTTCATAGATTAATTTTTGTAAAAGAAGCGGTTTTTAATTGCGCATAATTTGATCCATTAATTTTTGTAAAAGAAGCGGTTTTTAATTGCGCATAATTTGATCCATCAATTATTGCGTAATTTTAAGATATGATTGAGAAATGGCGATTTTTTAATTAATCTGTCATGTCTACACGTTTTATTTAATTAATCGACAACCACCACCGCCAATTAGATAGTTCAAGATGTGAATTAAAGAAGAAACTATAACCTCTCAAATATACCTAAATGGAGTTTTGTAGTATTTACAGTTTTCCTGTAAATAAGCTTTCAAATTTGAGTAACATATTTTTTTTCGATCAATTTTTTTTGTAAATGAATATTATTGCTCAAATACTAACATCATTTCATAGAATAATTTTGATATAAGAAGCGGTTTTTAATTGCGCATATTTTGATCTATCAATTATTAGGTAATTTTAATAAATGATTGAGAGATGGCGATTTTTTAATTAATCTGTCATGTCTTCACGTTTTATTTAATTACTCGATAATCACAAACGACAATTAGATAATTAAAAATGTGATTTAAAGAAGAAACTATAGCCTTTCACATACACCTAAGTATACATTTGTATTATTTATCATTATCCTGTAAATAAGCTTTCAAATTAGACTAACATATTTTTCGTTCATTTTTTTTTGTAAATCAATATTATTGCTCAAATACTAAATTAATTTCATAGATTAAATTTTTATATAAGAAGCGGTTTATAATTGCGCATATTTCCATCTATCAATTATTAGGTAATTTTAATAAATGATTGAGAGATGGCGATTTTTTAATTAATCTGTCATGTCTTCACGTTTTATTTAATTAATCAACAATCACCAACGGCAACTAGATAATTAAAAATGTGAATTAAAGAAGAAACTATAGCCTCTCAAATATACCTAATTGGAGATTTCTAGTATTGACCATTTTCCTGCAATCAGCTTTCAAAGTTGACTAACATTTTTAATTTTTCGAACAAAATTAAAACTTATATTATTACTGAAAAACTAACTTAATTTTATACATTAAAGTTATAATTATTTGTAAAGTACTTCAAATATTAATGGTAGTAGTTGAAATTATTACTTTTTTTTTATCATAGATGTTTTTTTTTGGATTAAGTAAATTATGGGACAAAGTATAAAACCTCGGGGTACACCAGAAACAATTCGTTAATTCTAAAATGAAATATGCCTATGACATGAAACACACTTTAATGGAAAACCAATTTCTAAAACTATGGGCATGCAAAGTTTGTCGATAAATTGTACATCGTGCAGTCGTTTACAGGTGATAATAATCAGTTTAATTGAAACTTTCCATCTTTGAAAGGACATCAATCAAGCGGTAGTTAACGAAACCAATCCGAAGTTACACTTCCTTTAAGGACGGCGCGCACGCAATTCGATGAAATTTGCATTCGATCCGGATGAGCGTCCAGTCGAACGGGTGCTAATTACGCGATTGCTTTAATCAGCGACACGTGTTTTTCTTGCAGCAATGCGGAAAACGCGCGACGATATTTAATGAAGGAAGGGCATCCTCACTTCAACAGATGAAGAAGAAAAAACCGGCTTTTTCGCTCGTTTATTTGTCGTTGTTCGTTAGAGTATCTTTCCGCAGTTATTCATTCATTCGTGACTTTTTTTTTGTGGAAAAAACGAATCAAGGAAATCGATTTATTTTTAATATGCGCACGCGAAACACCAACAAAATGAAAATAAAAGGAAGAGCAGTGGTAAATGGTGGTATGCAAGTGCGAGCTGCAAGCGCGATGCGACATGCAGAGGATTATTTATAAACCTTTCGAGAGAGCGAAAGAAGTGAAGCGGTTTTAGCAAAACGCGGAAATCGCATTGATATTACACGCATTAATAATGATTAGTGCTCTTGCTAGGTTCTTCTATTTTACTTCTTGATACTTCTTTGCTACTTAATGCGATCGCCGGATTGTGATTACCTTAATTTGCGAGCGGAATTCCAAATAGATCAAAGTCGAGGTAATTGCGAAATCGCTAATCCGTGCGATTTTCGCTGCTTCCTAGATTCACTACAACTACCGGCAACTCTTGCTTTACATTAGTGACTACTTTAGTAGCCTTCAGGGGGGTTTTTCAAGGAAAACCAATTCGATTTCACAGATCATTTCTCGAGGGAAATACACGTACAGAAATGATTAGTCGACTGAAGCTCTCAGCATGTTTGCGTAATCTTTCTTTACTTTACTACATGGTGAACTGGCATTAATGGTTTTCGATCACTTTGGTATTCATGAATAAAGTCGTTTGGTAGGAAATCGACTATTTTGTAGGGAGATTACTGAAACCCATTTAGATTTCTTAATGATCAGAAATAAGTAAAATCGTTTTGAGGAAGTCAACTACTTTGTGTCAAGATTACCATAAGATTCGTTTTAATGATCGATTTTATAGGTTCATTATTTTTTCCACAAAAATGTGTATTAAATTGATAAATAAATCGATAATATAAATACTAATAATTATGTGTAATTGTCTTCAACTTTAGTCATTTCTTGTGTCGGTAGAATCGTAAAACATTGTAAAAAAATTTGCAAAGAATCTCAGTAGTTTTGCCGACGGATTTGGTAATTATCTTCAAGAATTTTTCTTGAGCACAAATTAAATAAAAATGAAGTAAATGTCTGGAAATAACGTGAACCCAAAGGCAATCCGACGGCGAGATTGAAAGCTTTCAAGAAGATTAGACTCGCACTTGCAAAGCAAAAGCAAAAAAAAAATAATATAAAGAAACGTTAAATTTCCATAAGCAATAACGATAATTGTCGTCGAAGCCGCCCGTTCGCAATTAACGTGCGTGCACATTCCACCGACGAAGAGAAGTAATGGCAGAAATTACAGTCCTCCGGAGCTTTTTTTTATTACATAATTACGCTTCGTACAGGAACAAAAAGTTACCATTTCGAAAGCGCGAGCTCAGACTTGCCATCAATTGCATATCGCGTGGTATCTCGCATTATTTAACTTGCTACTTGATAAGTAACAAGTAATTTGTCTTCACATTAAGTCTTCAATAGGATTTAGAACAATTGGATTTAGATTTTTTTTATCCTGTTTCATTGTGTGAAATCTAGTAATGATTGACTTGCAACTTGGCAATAGACAAGTAGTTTGTATTACATTCAGCAAAATTCGGTTATATATCATTTCAAACCTATTACGTAATGAATCCCTCGTAATAAAAGACTTGCAACTTGGCAAGTAACAAGTGATTTGTAACACATTAATGATCAGTCTTCAATAGGTTTAGAAAATTTAGATTTAGATTTTTTAATCCTGTTTCATAGTGTGAAATCTAGTAATGATTGTCTTGCAACTTGGCAATAGACAAGTAGTTTGTATTACATTCAGCAAAATTCGGTTATATATCATTTCAAATCTATTACGTAATGAATCCCTCGTAATAAAAGACTTACAACTTGGCAAGTAACAAGTGATTTGTAACACATTAATGATCAGTCTTCAATAGGATTTAGAAAATTTAGATTTAGATTTTTTTAATCCTGTTTCATAGTGTGAAATCTAGTAATGACTGACTTGCTACTTGACAAGTAACCAGTAATTTGTATCACATTAATCATCAGTCTTCAATAGGATTTGGAACATATAGATTTAGATTTTTTAATCCTATTTTATAGTGTGAAATGTAGCAATAATTGACTTGCAATTTGGCAATAGACAAGTAGTTTGAATCGCAATAATTGCCTTGAAACTTGACAAATAACAAGTAATTTGTATCACATTCGGCAAAATTCGGTTATATATCATTATCAAACCTATTACGTAAAGAATCCCTCGTAATAAAAGACTTACAACTTGGCAAGTAACAAGTGATTTGTAACACATTAATCATCAGTCTTCAATAGGATTTAGAAAATTTAGATTTAGATTTTTAATCCTGTTTCATAGTGTGAAATCTAGTAATGATTGACTTTCAACTTGGCAATAGACAAGTACTTTGAATCGCAATAATTGACTTTTAAATTGACAAGTAACAAGTAATTTGTATCACATTCGGCAAAATTCGGTTATATATCATTATCAAACCTATTACGTAAAGAATCCCTCGTTATAAAAGACTTACAACTTGTCAAGTAACAAGTAGTTTATAATTGTATTAATCACGATCGGATTTGAATATTCGCATCTGTTCTGCTTCGTTTCTTCAGCTCCTTGTTTTTTGATTCTTTATTTTATTTTATCTCCCCAACAGATGGCGTAATTGCCACGTCGACCGATCGACCAGAACCTCTCTCGGCGATCGCCATCTGGATGTGTGGAAATCGACGACTTCATTACGCGAACATTAAATAAAATCTTCTACCAGTATAACGCGCGTTATACTTTACCGCTTCCAAAACGACCTCATAAGGAAGTGCCCCTGATAAGTAACTTATTGTGTTGTAATTCTTCGAATGATTGCTTTTATCGACAACTTTAATACTCCTGTAATAGCTTATATACTAACTCGTGTAATTTTCATAAACATTTGCTAAAGAAATATTGAATGTAATATAATTTTATATATAAAATTGAGTTAGGAATGATTATTAGATATAATTAATATTTAAATAAATTCAATTGGCGAGACTTCCGGTATAACCGGAAAAAAATGAATTTTGTTGAATCAAAGTAAAAATTTGTTGGTTTATGGAATGTGAAAGAGCGAGTAAAAAAGTTAAATAAAGTTTTTAGATGAAACGTGTATTTCTTGAGTTAATGATAGTTAAACAAAAAATAATTGAAAATGCATTTTGATGTTTCCGTGACAAGTTCAAAGCCTTCTGAGCAGTAAAACGTAATCGCTGTAAACAAAATCGAAGAGAGAATGTAAAAAAAAAGAAGGGCACGAAAAGCTGATTTACTGTTACGCGAAAGGAAGGATAAGAAGAAGTTTGAGGAAGTTGCGTGCTCGAATGCTGCATGTGGATGGATGAGTGCAGAATCCAGGCAGTCTCGCGAGACAAATCCTCGCATGCCTGCGTAGATTAATCCAAAGAGATAAACGAGGAGAAGCAACTGGTGGAGAGATGAAGAGAGGACGAGGAGGAGGAGGAGGAGAATCTGGAGGAGAGAAGGTTCACGTTCACGTGTGTTTGATTTCTGGTTTGTACCGTTCGCTAGTTACGTAACGAGCGAGGCTCTCCGAGGCCCGTCACTCGCGCTGCGTAGATAGAGATGAAAAATGGGAAATAGAATGGGTGGAAGTGGGACCCAGATGAGAGATATGTGTTGGGGAAAAAAATTAACTGCCGCGAAAGATATGCCAGACATGAGAAAGTTGACGATGAACACTGACGTTTTCCGTAAATTATGAACTAATTATAAAAGATTGCACATTAATTACGGTGAAGACGTCGTTGTGAACCGGAGGAATAGAAGAGGAGAAACGAAGGAATTATTATTTTTGTTTTGTAACATTTTTATGAAAATACACTTTCTTCTGATTTCATGTAATTGTGTCTCTTTTATTGTACATTTTTATGTAAAATTATAACAATCGTAACTTGAATAGTATTCAAAATTGTGTAATATTTCTTTCTCCGGACAAAGTTTTATTAAATTTTGATTTTTTACTAGAAAATTTAACTAAAAACACAATTATTACATAGAATGTATGAAGAAATATTATCTGAAGTTTGTTTTTTAGTTGAAGAATCAGGAACTGTATAATATTAACATTGCAAGTCGATTATTTATGTGCACTTAGACTATTGTATTAAATATACATGTTTTGTGTATAAGTAACGTGCAGGAGGCTTCTACGACACACCTCTTCTCTTCTTTAGCCGCGTTTCATGATTATCTGTATTCAATGCGTTCGCTTGCATCGAAGGCCCCGAGCATTTCATTACCTCAGCAAACAAAGAGAAACAAAAGACAAACAAAAACAAAGAAAAAAAGTAAAACGCATCGAGCGTAAAATGACTTTATCTCGAGATTACAAAAAAAAAATAGATAGTTAACAAGTTCCTACTTCGTCATTATCTCTATGATGATGATGATGATGATGACTGTAAAGTTTATTTATATAACCGAAATTGCGATTCACGCGAAACAGGACACCTTTGTTACTTCATTTGTTTTGATGCTATTTTTAGGAGACGCTGCCAACAAATAATGGTCTGGCCTCTCCTTTATTCGCATTTCGAAATCTCTTTATGCAACGATTTTATCTACATTGCACTTTGTCAAAGAGATTATCTACTACGTGCTTAAAAGACTAACAAAACTTTAAAATTACTGTATTGGCTAATAATTCATAATGTTTACCGAAAACAAAGGTTTATAAACAATTTGACAGAAATGTCAAATATAATGGCAGCGTCATAACTTTGACAGCTGTCACATTGTATAAAATGCTAGAATTCCGTTATTCGTGGTCAGATTACACGGGTTTTAATCAAACGGAACCGCAACGCAAAACAGGAAACACTTTCAAAATTAGTTTTATCGAAACACATGATATTTCTATCGCTGAACTACATTTTTTTTTTGTAATTTCGTATCAACGGTTTTAAACATTGATTTCTACCGTTCTTATTCTGATTTATCAAAATTTTGTTTAGTTGAAAAACGTATAAGTAGATGGCGCTTTGTAATGAATTGAATAATGCATGGTTAAAGACGGAGGAATAATAACGTTTTGATAAGGGGGTGTGAATAAACCTTTTGTTTTCGTGAAGGCTGAGAGCCGCAATTAAATTCGAATTTAAGGCATACACCGTGTGAAATAGGTAAATTAATGGTTGGAAAACCGACTAAATGCGTTTTAAATCTGTCCAATTTTTTTTTTCATGTTACAAGTAATACGTATAATTTTCTAGTCTAATGGATTGCAGCTAGTTCTTTGAATTGTTGTTCAAGTGGTGAATCAAATGAGATACAAAGTAAAATGTATGTAAAAAAAAGGTTCCCGACAGTGTTAAAATCTCAACAGTATCAAAATTTCGAACATTTTAGCAATACTTTCTCTGTTTTTAATTAACTAGATAGTCTTCAAGGACGGAATTTTAATACTGTCGGGATTTCCACAATGTCGGAAATTTGATTGTCGGGATTTGTATATAGACTCGTTTAAAAACTGTTGTTAAAGTTAAGTTTAAGTAGCTTACTTTTCGCTGAGTAGTTCGACGCATCCGTGTCTTCCTTTTTGCTGCGACGAAGATTGATTGGAGAGATCGGAGAAGCATCCGCCGATTGTAGATTTGCACATGTAGGCAGTTGAAATGCAGGAGGGCAGATTGCAAACGCACCTAACGGAACCTGAAACG